GAATTGCGATATATCGATTGTTATGCCATTTAAACCTATGGAAAAGGATCGATAAACAGGGTGTTCGCAGCGAACACCTTAGTAATCGATTCTTTACCATAGCTTCAAGATATCGATAATCGATCATTTACGCCACGCCACTGGATTTAACTGTTACGATTTTTACCAGGACTGAAACATGTAAAGGACCTAAAGTGTTTAGATAATATTTTAGTAATTACGAATACTGAACTAGCTTCACTGGTTCACTACCAGACGAAATTTCGACCGAAGGTAAAAATGTACCCCGAAGAGACAGGATGACTAACGCGAAGAAAAAGAGAAAATCCTAAAACCTGAGGAAGCCCTCGGAGGGCTTGATATGAGTGTAATCGGGGCCTCTGTCCCCTCCCCTCAATATCGCGAAAACGGTTCGTATTAACGGTTCAGTTTTAAAGGAGGGGTGGCGATTTGGGCCATTTCCGGCCCCACCTAATCCGGGACTTTTTTTGCTGTGATTCGTTACGTATAAGTGTCAAGAGAAAGCATGCCAAGTTTCAGGCCGATCGGCCCAATATTCGGGGGGCAGGGCCCCCCGAATTTTTAAGCGCAAAATCGGTTTTAATTTTGTAGCGCCGTCAATTTCGCTCGTATACAGATGAAAATTGGGTGTCAGGGGTAAAATTGTGCGTTCTTTCCATTTCCGCCGTCAAAATTGACACTGGGGCAAAATTAAGGGGGATTTTGGGGGGTTTTTCGCGTTTTTTACCAATTTTCTGCGGTTTTCATGCTTTAAGTCAGAGATTTTCAGCCAAACGACCACAGATTTGATTTCTACGCAAAAAATTACATAGGAATATAATGACCAACTAACACTCAACAGCGGATTTCTCTAGGAAAAACTGACCCATAAGTATGTGTTCACTCAGAAATTTTGAAAATAGCCATGTTTCGGGTACAGCCCAAGCTTGTAGCACTACCATATTCACATACAGGGTGTACCAAAAGTCCGTCCCACCCCTGCTAACTTTTGAACGAATTGAGCTAGGGTAATGAAACTTTGGGAATGTTCCTATCTCAAAGGGGACCATCTTTTGAGGGGGTCAAAATTTTGGTCCCCCCTCAGGGGGGGCGCGGGGGGCCCCCAACTTTTTTTTTTCAAATAGCAACCCCTATCTTGTGATACATCATTCGAAAGAGCATAAAAAACTAAGAATTTTGGCGCAAACCGCAGATCAATATCTTAATTTTTGACCGAGTTATGATAGGTCAAAGGTCAAATTTGACCTATTTTCAAAAAATCATAACTCCGGTTCAAATTATCGTAAAGAAAAAAATAAAACGGGAAAATTTACCAAATTGTGTCCGCTTTTAAGTAAAAATTGCAGAAATCACTTTGCTGTAATTTTAAGGGGGGGCTCGGACCCCCAAATACGTCAATTCAAAGGTCATTCAATTTTCCCGCGAAAAAAGGCAATTTCCCCTAGATTTGCCTCCACATTATCTCAGTAAGGTCAAAATTAGTTCAACATTACGTTGGCAAGTCCCCAAATTTCGGGAAAAGTTAAAAAAAAACGAAATTTAAGGTGATTAAATTTGACCGTTTAAATTTCGTTTTTTTTTAACTTTTCCCGAAATTTGGGGACTTGCCAACGTAATGTTGAACTAATTTTGACCTTACTGAGATAATGTGGAGGCAAATCTAGGGGAAATTGCCTTTTTTCGCGGGAAAATTGAATGACCTTTGAATTGACGTATTTGGGGGTCCGAGCCCCCCCTTAAAATTACAGCAAAGTGATTTCTGCAATTTTTACTTAAAAGCGGACACAATTTGGTAAATTTTCCCGTTTTATTTTTTTCTTTACGATAATTTGAACCGGAGTTATGATTTTTTGAAAATAGGTCAAATTTGACCTTTGACCTATCATAACTCGGTCAAAAATTAAGATATTGATCTGCGGTTTGCGCCAAAATTCTTAGTTTTTTATGCTCTTTCGAATGATGTATCACAAGATAGGGGTTGCTATTTGAAAAAAAAAAGTTGGGGGCCCCCCGCGCCCCCCCTGAAGGGGGACCAAAATTTTGACCCCCCCAAAAGATGGTCCCCTTTGAGATAGGAACATTCCCAAAGTTTCATTACCCTAGCTCAATTCGTTCAAAAGTTAGCAGGGGTGGGACGGACTTTTGGTACACCCTGTATGATACGCTCTAGGTCGACCCTGTTGATATTATCGGGAACTTGAAATGCTACCCGCTTGGGCGGAGGGTCGAATTCTCCTCAGAAACGATTAGAAAAGGCGATAAAATTACGTTTCACGTGAATTGTTGCGAGCGGAATGTTATTATATCGGCAACTTTCACCTCCAACTTATGTAATTTTTTGCGTGCTTTCCATTCCTGCCAGGAAAATTGGCATCAAAGCAATTTTAAACGGGTTTTCGGGGTTTTTTTTATCATTTTATAATCATTTTTTACCAGATTTTTCCGGTCTTTTGCGGTTTTCATGTTTGAAACCTCACCAAATGAGCCAAACGACCACAAATTTTAATTTTTCTCAAAATACGTTTACTATCACATCCATAAAATACGTCACGGATGAATCGTATAGCAGAAGAAATGTTGTGTAAAATCCTTATCTCTCATTCTGAATCCTCGTCAGACCATAAGTAAGCAGCATCCTCTAGGCAGTCTCCATAAGAGGATGACAATCTTCGGGGCTCTTTTTCTTGATGTTGGTAAAAACCAAGAAACCACAGAACTGATATGCCACATGAGGTTTCAAACACGAAAACCGCAAAAGACCGGGAAAAACTGGTAAAAAATGATTAAAAAATGATAAAAAACCCCAAAAACCCGTTTAAAATTGCTTTGATGCCAATTTTCATGGCAGAAATGGAAAGCACGCAAAAAATTACATAAGTTGGAGGTGAAAGTTGCCGATATAATAACATTCCGCTCGCAACAATTCACGTGAAACGTAATTTTATCGCCTTTTTTATTCGTTTCTGAGGAGAATTCGACCCTCCGCCCAAGCGGGTAGCATTTCAAGTTCCCGATAATATCAACAGGGTCGACCTAGAGCGTATCATATGTGAATATGGTAGTGCTACAAGCTTGGGCTGTACCCGAAACATGGCTATTTTCAAAATTTCTGAGTGAACACATACTTATGGGTCAGTTTTTCCTAGAGAAAGCCGCTGTTGAGTGTTAGTTGGTCATTATGTTCCTATGTAATTTTTTGCGTAGAAATCAAATCTGTGGTCGTTTGGCTCAAAATCTCTGACTTAAAGCATGAAAATCGCAGAAAATTGGTAAAAAACGCGAAAAAACGCGAAAAACCCCCCAAAATCCCCCTTAATTTTGCCCCAGTGTCAATTTTGACGGCGGAAATGGAAAGAACGCACAATTTTACCCCTGACACCCAATTTTCATCTGTATACGAGCGAAATTGACGGCGCTACAAAATTAAAACTGATTTTGCGCTTAAAAATTCGGGGGGCCCCTGCCCCCCGAATATTGGGCCGATCGGCCTGAAACTTGGCATGCTTTCTCTTGACACTTATACGTAACGAATCACAGCAAAAAAAGTCCCGGATTAGGTGGGGCCGGAAATGGCCCAAATCGCCACCCCTCCTTTCAGTACATTTATAGGCAGTATGGGGCCATCCAAAGGATGAAAACAACCTCAGAGGGGCCCAAAATCGGGCAATTTTGTGCATGGCTCTTCGTGTTCTTTTTCAAACATATTTTCGCGCGTATGAACATTTTTGAAACATCGGCCCAAGAATGTTAGATACCTACGGGCAATAAATAATGTAGCAGATGCAAGCAGTCGAAATATCAGGAGACATGGAAAATCAATCGTTATATCTAGCAATGTGTCTCGGATGACCAGTCACTGGGTGGAATTTTTTAAGTTATTTTCCTAAGCATATTTCTACACAAATGGAAATCGCGCAGGGATTTAGTAAAAACGCAAAATACGCCACATCGTGTACATCGCACAGCGATTTAGTAAAAACGCAAAATGCGTCACATCGTGTGTATCGCCATGGTTTGTGGCAAATACGCGTCTGTTCAGCGGTTTTTGAAAAGGAGTGAGAAGTTAAGCGCTTTTCAACTGAATATCGCGGCATTCACGAACGTCATAAATTTGAGACAAAAGAAAAACTATGCTTTTCCTTCATTTCCGCGCGATAGAGGAATCCTCCTCCGGATTTTGAATATTGACGCTTAGCCTCTGTTATGACCAGTGTTGTCAATAAAAAATTTCAACTCAAGTAAGCCAAAACAGTAAAGAAGTGCGCGATTTTTAAAACGGTGAGAGGTTACGCGTTTTACATCTCAGTATCGCGAAAAAAAAGAGATTTTCCCGGCAATTTTGGATTACGTGGAAAATTACGCGTCTCTCCTCTGGGTAACGGCAAATACGCGATTTAACCAACAGTATTTTACACAGGAGTGACAGTGGCGTGGCGTGCTTTGCGATATATCGACTGATCAACCATTTAAACCTACGGAAAAGTATCGATAGACAGGGTGTTCGCAGCGAACACCTTAATAATCGATTGTTTACCACAGCTTCAAATGGGGATACATCAGATAGATCGAAAAGCACGCCACGCCACTGGGAGTGAAGAGTTACGCGTTTTTCATCTGAATATCGCGCAAAATACACGCTTGCTCCAGCGGTTTTGTAAAATCATAAAAGCTATTCTCATCTTAATATCGCGGCAAATACGCAATTTTGCCCAGCGGTTTAATAAAACCACAAAAGAGTACGTGTTTTTAATCTGAGTATCACGGCATTCATAAGCGTCAGTAATCTAAGACAGGCAAAAGCCAAGATCTGCCTTCATTTTCGCGTGATACCACATACCAACTCCAGAGTTCGAATAGTTGCAAGCGTAGTTTCCACATTAAAAACGATAGGACCACAATTTTTCTTTTAAATGAACAATTAGCTGTTATGGATTTACTCGTCATTTTGGAGTGCAAGAATAAATATAATGGCTACATACCGATAAGCAGCTGGCGACATGCACTCCTGAAACAGAGAAAATAACATTCGGGGGTAAAATAGGGAACATTAGAAAAAGATCAGATCTATGACAATATGAAGGTGGAGTTGCAGCGAAATAACGAGTTATAAACCGTAGCCTAGAAATCTTTACCCTTTAGATCCGTTCGATCTTCTTTAAATCGAGAGTGAGTCCTGAGAGAGTCTCCTTCTATTTCAATCAGTGAAATAGCTATATTTTCATTTCTCGTCCATTAATTTCGATAGTGGCTTCGGATCAAACAGTAAGTTTTCCTGTGTTACACCTATGGTTTTTCGGAAAATCTGGAAGTTTTAAGCAAAAAGTAAGCTGACCTAAATATGTTGTTGTTTTTGTTACTGACTTTTTGGCGATTTCTCCGAAGATTTTCCTAGGAAAATGAGAAATTGCACATTAATCTTCGCAATTATTTTGCGGCAACCGCCTGATTTCCCAGCAGTTTTGTAAAAACATCAAAAATTACGCTAATTCTCCTAATTTTCGCGGCATATACGCGAATCCCCAGCGGTTCATGAAAAACATATAGGATCGAACAATTTTCACCCAGTAGTGCTTGAAACTCGGCATCAAGTCTTAGCAGCCATCTGGCCTGCAACTTGTTTTCTTGGGGGCCAAAATGAGAAATTGTCCTTTCGGAATGCATCGAGTCAGGAATACCCTATTGAATAGTATGTTAGGACAAGACCCGATGTATCACGATACTTGACGAAGACGGAAGGGAAGAATTGATAACACGACAGATAACACCTTGCAGAATGCGCCGAAAAATCCCAAAAAACAGAGTTTAACAACGATTTTCTTAGCGGTTTTATTTCTTAGTGGCCTAAGGCGATTTTTTACCGGCAAATTGCTGTTTGGCCGGCGTGTGTTTAAAACACTGTTTTCGCCTCAATATTGCGAAAGATACACGATTTTTATATACGCGAGCAAAATATTAGAATGTCAGGAATATAAGATATGCAAAAGCATAAGATTCTCCTGCAATAGCGCGTGATACCATACACATACACTCCGGCGTCCGAATAGTTACTCTCTTCATGTCCGCCTCTTAAAAAGTGAGGAGTTACGCAAATTCCATCTCAACATCCCGAAACGTACGCAATATTCCCAGCGGAAATCTCGGAAATCCCATTAGGTAAGCACTCAAAAGGCGAAATTAAACTATCGCCGATGTAAGTCGGCAATCACATAACTCGGTTTGTGCCGTCGCAGACTTCCTGTCACATTTTATTTTTTAAACGGGAAACTACTCAACGGTAATCCTTTAAGAATACCTTGATTTTTCTTCTCTGTGCGAAGAAAATTCTGCATACATTTGAAGGAATAATGTCAATTTGTTCTCCTTTAAAAAAATAACATAGAGGCGGAGATTTTCAGACACCGCAAACGAGTTATGTGATTGCCGACTTACACCATCGACATATTTATCTAACCAGATTCCTTGATACTTACGCAACGCTAACTTGCTGAATTCGAATTAAATTTCAGCTTTAGACTTTGAAATTCGATCCGCGGCGTGGACGTCCAGTAAAAGGTTGGCGGGAGGGAGTGGAGGGGGAGATCAGACGGTGTAATCTGCCCGCTGATTTGTGGGAGGATCGATTCCGATGGCGATTTGGAGTCGCAGAGCGCTCTAGTGCGCTGATTTAGCGGCTTGGTATGTATGTATCAAAAAACAACAAATTGAAAATATAATTTTAAGTACGTACCAGGAGAGGGTTATCCAATTGCCCGACGCCACGCTGAAAGCACTCCTAACACTGTCACTAAGCCTGAACTAAAAAACTTGGCCATGAGAAGATTTGAGATATTAAAGATATAGTGTGGAAATGTGCACAGGTTCACTGTGAGGTGCACAAAATGTACGAATTCACTGTTCTGATTTAAATTCTGCCCATGTTAGATGTGTACAATTTATGTAGTTATACAAAGCAAAAAAATAAAATAAAATAAAAGAGAAAATGATCGATGAGTTTGTATAAACGACCAATTTACTCAAAGAATACACGCATGACACTTCATAGAGACTTCTTTCAAATCCTTGCTTATGTCAGTGGACACAAACGCAACGATAGTAATATTATTTACTTCCAGAAAAATGTTTCGTGAGACTATTATTCGTCACATAGTTCAACAGTCTTAACGTAGATGCATCGTTGTCAACTTAATGCTACAAATTTCTAGACGCTTGACGTCAAAAAATTTAAATGAATGTTTCCATTATCAAATTTAAGCGCTGTCATTTTAACTAATTCATCTACATTTGGATAAAATATTTTGGAATACGTATAATTTTGTCACTGGTCCGATTTTTATTTGAATAATGAGACATTTCTCCAATTTCTCTCGCCACTAAAATCATATTTCAAAAATGTTTTTGGCTCAATTATTTATAGATCTAAATGCTTAGGTATTTCCATGAAGAGCAGCAGAGCAATTAAATTACTACATGTTAAGCACAGCTTTTAACTTCGGATTATTTTTCTTCTCCAATGTCTCTCAACACAAAAAAACAACAACAAAAGACACTCTCAACTCAACTTATAGATATCCGAAGTTATCTTGTCTCAGCTCAAAGTGTAAGTGCTTTCGTTCTAACTAATTCATCTTCATTCGGATAAAAGCGGGTCTAGATTTTGAAACGCGTGACAAATTATTCGTCTCCAATTTCTCTCATCACAAAAAAAGCAAAAGGTACTCTCGGCTTGACTCATAGATCTCCGCAGTACTCATGTCTCAACTCAAAAAAGTACTAGAATTGTAAGTGATGTCGGCTCAACTTATTTATTTACAAGCTGATAATAGCGGGTAAAGATTCGGGTCTAGATTTTGAAACGCATAAACAATTTTTCTTCTTCAATTTCTCTCATCACTAAAAAAAAACATAAAACCAAAGATGCTCTCGGCTCAACTCATAGATCTCCGAAGTTATCTTGTCTTAACTCAAGATGTAAGTGCTGTCGTTCTAACTAATTCATCTTCATTCGGATAAAAGCGGGTCTAGATTTTGAAACGCGTGACAAATTATTCGTCTCCAATTTCTCTCATCACAAAAAAAGCAAAAGGTACTCTCGGCTCGACTCATAGATCTCCGCAGTACTCATGTCTCAACTCAAAAAAGTACTAGAATTTTATTGTAAGTGCTGTCGGCTCAACTTATTTATTTACATGCTGATAATATCGGGTAAAGACCATGAATCGCGTGAAATTTCATCACTGAACGGAACTACTTTCATTTGAATAACTTGGACTATTCTCTAATTTCTATCACCATCAGTGAAGTAAATCTGAACATATTTTCCACTTAATTTACAGATTTGAATGCTCGTGTGTTTCTATTAAGAGTCGCAAGCAATTCAATCACTATCATGGAGGAAATGTATTGGACGAAAAAAATCGGACGAAAATTCTTGAGACCTATGGCATAGCTCCTCTTTCGGATTAAAATAAATTCCTCCACTTGTTCTCATCACAAAAAAACTAAAGATACTCTCCGTTCCACTCATAAAACTAAGTTCTCTTGACTCAACTCAAAAATCTACTGATTGTAAGTGCTATCGGCTCAACTCATTCATCTGCATACTGATCAAATCGGGTTTAGATAGTATATATAGCGTATTCTTTAGTCATTGAACGTTAAAATTCCCATTGTTTGAGGAACATCTGACCTTCTCAAATTGTTCTTACAAGCAAAATAAAATATAAAGAAGTATTTCATACTCAACTCATAAACCTAAATGCTAGTATCTTTCGATAAGGAGTAGCGAGAAATTTACTCACTGTGCGTATGTTCGTCTCCGATTCCTCTCGTCAAAGAAAACTTAAAAAACGAAAGGTGTTCACTATTGGCTTAATTCATGGATCAACTAATAATTGATTTCGTCTCATTACCAAGTGCAGTCGTCTCAACTCATGAAACTACATGCTCAGAATCGAATTCAGAATGTAAATAGAGTAAAGGCCCGTTACTGAACGGTCCAGTTTTTACTTCAGACGCCTTGTGAATTCTTTTCTCATTTTGCTCAATTGCAAAATGAAATTTAGGAACTACATTCGACTTAACTAATTAATCTGAATTTTAAAGTGTTTTAATTCTGAATATTACACAATTTTATCACTAGTTGCTGCAGTTTCTGTCGAATGCGTTTACATTCTCCTCTTGAATAAAACAAAAAATTAATAAATGATAACAGACGAAAAAACGCATTATGTTCACCTCCGTCTTCACTCATATGTTTACTTTCGACTGGACTCATGAATCGGCACGCTTATCATAAACAGCATGTACATTGTACAAGCATACATCTGAACTCATTTTCTGACTCATCTAAACGTTGAAGTAGCTACCAAGTCTTCTGAAATTTCTGTCTCATTTTTAAGTGGGTTTGACTGAACTTGTTCTGCAAAAAAACAAATTAGCTCCATGCTCTCAACTAAACTCAAAGAACTACTTTGATGACGATACGCTTACGTTATTGGCAGAAACAGTCTTCAAAATTGTTTTCGAAGAACAAAATTCGATGCAGTTGTCAGACCTAACGGAATATCTTAGTGGGCTCCTCTTCTGAAGTAAAAAGGAACAATTCCAGGTAAATTTTCTTCCGTGAGAAGTAAAAATGAGGAATCAACCTGTGCTAAAATTGGAAACGCCCTGAGGTTATAAACGAAAATCTACAAAATTTTCCGACGTTCTCTCCCGATATTTTGTCCATTCGACAATTTGGCGGCGGAACCACGACTTTTCACTCAAGATTTCCGCAGTAAAAGAGGTGCTTGAAATGATAAAAAAAAAAAAGATTGCAGGTGAGGAGGGAAAACTAAGGAACCAACAGAACACAAATGGTTACGACAAGATAAAGAAGAAGAAGTTAAATGAAGAATGCATGCTTCTACTTAGGACAAGGACGAATTTGAAGTAAATAGAAAATAAAATAAACAAGAGGAAGAAAGTTGTCCCGAGACTAGAGAAATCACTCACCAAATCTGAGAAACTAATTCAACGTAATAAAGACAGGGTCTTTTGGCGGAGAAATGTCGCATTCGATACTGATATCAAAACTGCTCTCGAATGCGATATTTCTCCTCACACTGACCTTACCTTTATTACGTTAAATTTGTTTCTCAAATTTGATAGGCGAATTCTTCAGTCTTATGACAAAAGGATTGCGATTGCAAAATTCGATCAAAATGACTGGTGCCTGATAATATGGAACCAATCGATGCGATATATCGCATGTCGTCATTCAAACAATCACACGCATACGAACTCATCTTCGCAAGATCACAAGCACCCTCACTCACTCGCACTGACACCCTCGCACACTCACCCTCACTCACACGCACGCACCCTCACTCGCACGCACGCTAACCCTAAGCTTAACCTAAACCTAAGCCTAACCTAAACTAAATCCACTCACCCACCCAATCCCATTCTATTTCCCATGACCTCAAGCCCGGCCCGAAATAATGGAGCTCTTGCTTGTGTCAAAAATTTGCAATTGAAGAACTGATTCCTATGTAAAATTTCGCGAGAAGCACGATGATGCTACTGGTTACCTATAAAACAAACTCTGAAACTCAGTAAAAGCTCTTAAAGTTGAGGCCGTAAAGAAAGGGATATCCCACGCTACGCTGAGAGTCTACATCCATACCTAGTGAAACTCTCCATGAAAAGATAAGAGCAAATACATTAACAGGGTTGCTGTGTTCTCAGTTTTGGAGTACCCACACAAAGTGGCAACCCTGCTAATGTATTTGCTCCCTATCTTCGATGAAGAGGTTAATTAGGTATAGAGGTGGACTCTCAGCGTAGCGTGGGTTGTTATACCCCTCTTTACGGCCTGAACTCTAAGAGCTTTTAATGAGTTTTGGAGTATGTTTTAGAGAAAATCAGTGGCATCATCGTATTTCTCGCAAAATTTTACGTAGGATAATGTACTTAAATCGCAAATCCCCTACATATGCAAAGGCTCAATTACAGCCCGCCCTCCTGTGGGCAAACAAGTTGGACATAGTGATAATTCGGACATTTTCGGGCGAGCCGAGCATTGCAACTTCGGATCCCAAAAGCTCACCGGGATATTGTTCCCATTGTGTCTACAACGAGCCTTTACCTATCGGTCAGACCTTTGCCATCGTGGCCTACTGGTAGACAAAAATTTCCCACCAATTTTCTTTATCGTTTGTGAATTTTTCCTTCATTTCAACGGATTAGGATTCAGCTTGCAATCCTGATGAAAAATGTAAATAATCGTAGGCAAATATAATAGCAAGTTATCATATCACAAAACGCGCTGAAGGAATTCGCAAATTTTGTGATACAATAACTTACCATTAAACCTATCTACAACTATTTACATGTTTCATCAGAATTGCAAGCTGAATCCTAATCCTTTGAAATAAAGGAAAAAATTTAAAAAGGATAAAATAATTAGTTGGCGTTTTATGTCTACCAGTAGGCCACGATGACAAAGGTCCGGCCGCTCTATGGAAAGACTCAGTGTGTACACAATGGGAACAGAATCCTGATGAGCTATTGGGATCCGTAATTGCAATTCTCGGTTCGCCCGAAAATGTCCAATTTTTTTAGGTCTAACTTATTTGCCCAGACTATTCCCTACCCAGAGTTAACTAAGACTAAATACTGTAAAAGAAAAAACTGAGCCCACCCGTGCCCACCCCTTATCCCTCCTAACCTCCCCCCTAACCCCACCCTACGCCCCACACCCACCGAACCTCCAAGCCCCCTACGTTGCCCACCCTAACCTACCCTAAGCT